ATGCCTGCTTCTATTTTATTCTTCGTTTTTTTAGCGTTTGTCGGTTTTCGAAAAAAAAAATGATAATATATAACTTTTGCATAATGGATGTTCCATACTTCATGTGCACTGCATCTGGTCACTTTACAAATATAAAATATTCTCTACCGATGTCTGGTGTATACTCTTTTGATTTACCATTTGAATTTTAAACCATATTTATATTTATTGTTATATTTATATTTATTTATATTTATTGTAAATGTTATTATTTCATTAAGCGTTCGAAAAAATAATTTTAGAATATTTGATTGAACAATAACATTCAATCTGTACAATGAAATTATTAACACATAAGGGCATGCATTTTTAATTAAGTAAAAACAATAATTTATTACTAATTACATAAATATATACAAATATAAATAAGGACTCTCAATCCTAAAATAATAATTAGAACAAAGCTAATAAGAGTCTAACGCTGATGTAAGAGCGAAGAATTAGGAGATGTAGATAATACTCAAGTATTGGCGGTGTCTTCATTTATTATATCGAATGTTGCATTTTGAAGTCATCTTCAGTGAAAAAGTAGAATATATATCGTTGAAAGTAAGTCACTCGCAGATTGGCAGAAATGCAGTAATCAATACGCTATATAAATTGTTACCATTTTACTGTTAGTTCAATAATTAAAATCAGTAATACTTGTATGACTCACCTCAACGAAAAAACAAAGAAGTTCGCAAACATTGATTCACAATTTTCATGAGATATAAATTAACACAAATTGTTCCTTTTAACACAAATTTATCCTTAATATCGTGTCAGTTCATCTTGACGTGTCATTTGAAACGTTACAAAGTGATAAGGGGACTTTTAAACAAGCAATGACAATAAATAATAATAAGAGAGTCAACCTATAACTATTTTAAATCTTAATATTGTTTTAACTTGTCTAATAAGCATAAGAATAATGCAAGCATTCTGTGTCTGTTTTTAAATTAAGTCCATTTTTCTGCATGTATATATGAAGCATTTCTGAATTTAAACATTTATTGAGAAATCTTTCCTTATCAAGAATTTGAACATATGGTATTCCCAATCAAATTCATGATTAAAACCAAGTCGGTGGTCTATGATCACTGATTGGTTCTTGTTACTGCTGTTGATATGATTGCGATGCTCAGATATTCTCGTGGATAATTTTCGACCTGTTTGACCAACATACGACGCATCGCAATCTTCACAAGGGATTTTGTACACAATATTTTTATTAGAGAATTTTGGGAGACTGTTCTTCTGTACTTTTATGAATTTATTAAGCTTATTCAAATTGAAGAAGGATAATTTTACGTTAATATTCTTCATAATAGTAAAAAATTTCTCGGATATTAATGGAACATAAGATAGAACGAATCATGGTAGACGTTCTTTAGTAGTAGTATCGCTATCAACATTATTCCTTTTCGTCCGTAGTTTATGAAACATCATTTTTAGACGTGAATTGATGATGTTAAAAATAAAATCAATCAGATAGTCATTATTTAATAAGATATTGATTATAAACTTCATGTCCTTGTAATGAAATTTCGGACTTGAAAGTAATAATGCTCTGTCAACCATTCCCGTTATTACGTCTTTCTTCTGAGAACTTGGATGTGTTGAAAGATAATTCAAGTAACGTCCAGAAAAAGGCTTGTGAAACCAGTCAAATTCCAACATTCTTTTCTCATTAATAATGATTGTCAAGTCTAAAAAATTAATTCTATTTCCAACCACTTCCATCGTGAACTGTAACTTTGGGTGCCAAGAATTAAAATTTGTGAGTATTTTATGAATTTCGCTAGATGGTACAGCCATAACGATATCATCTACATACCTAAAATAAAATGGGATATCTTCTTCAATGCATCTCTAGATCCTTCATAAGTTAGCGATAATCGGAGAAAGAGGTGAGCATTGGAGCACCAAATTTTTTGCTTAAGAAATTCCCCATTAAAAATGAAATAATCCAAGTGAAGCCGAATCCAAAACAAAATCCAGAGCATTCAAAAATTCTTTTTTTGGAATCAATGTCCATCTTTCGAGGTACTTCCATCTCTTGGCACATTTCCTAGCTAAATCTAATGGAATGTTGGTGAACAAATAATTTATTAACAAATTATAAGTGAAAATTATTGTTAATAAATTATTAAAAAGTAGATTTCTCGAGAACACAAAACTCTCAAATAGTAAGATAAATAAATGAAAAATCACATTATAGAATATTTACCGATGGACTTTCACTCATTTTTGATGATCGATTATTAACAATTTTTTATTCCTTTATTGAATAGCACAATTCAATATGATGACAGTTATTATAGTGATGGATGGTCATAAAAAAAAATAGAATACGTTATACATTAGACGCTGTAGAAATGGTATAAAGAGTATATTCACATGCATGCTATATGCATGCGATCAATCAAAATTGTCAAAGTGTAACGTCACAGATAAGCGATAAATTAAAACTATTGTTTCTAAATAGCTTATGTTAGCAGCATGCTCGTCAATAGCGTCACTCAGTGAACAGTCGCGCATTTAGATGCATCCATTGTGAACAAACGAATCTCCCCCAAACATCTAAAATTTAAACGTTTGTCTAAATAATTTAAACAATAATAGACTATATTGGATATGATGAAATTAAAACACGAGAAAGTCTATGTCATAGCGGTTCTTAGTGCTGAATAATAATTTTTAATTTTCTGTTTTATATATAATTAAATTTGAAATTTTAATTGTCAATAAAAAAATTTTCATAAAAAAAATATATATAGAGAAAAGCCCCCTATTATGATGAGATAGGCGCCTAATATGAGATAGCGGCGTTTCTGCTAAACTAATAGACGCTATCTATTCCACTTTGAATTTATTGTTTTTGGATACAAAACTATTGGATACAAACTATTTAGTAGAAAATTCATTATTAGATCATGCCCGTAATCATTGTAAAAAAAGATTTTAGAATTTGGATGTCTTCAAGTTTCATTGAGATGAGTCTTTAAATACAATTTATTTTTTTAATAAGTAAATATTTGGCAACAAATTCTTCATGTAGTGATAGAGTAAGGTCATACTAATAGAAAAATACGGGATATGTTGAATTGCTTAATTACAGAAGTTAGATAGATGATCGTAAAACCGTAAGGCGTGGAAATCGTAATATAAGATTCATGCTCCCATGTCATGAAAAAGTGCTAAAGTATAAATGTTATTGTACAATAATAAAAAAGCAACTAGAATGAACGTGCCTATTTCTGCGATGCTTGATTTCAACTATCTGAAGATTAGTTCTGGGTATAATGTATCGCACATTCATTTTTCGCGTACCCTGGATGTGTTTGTTTGTATTTAAAAAACATTAAATAAATTTTTCAATTACAGTACTGATATACTTTGCGTTTTACTATCGATTTATCGAGACATCTCATATTAGGAGCACAATTTTTTTTATTTTGCGATTTGCTCACTTTTACATTTCTTTAATTTTCAAAAAAAAAATGAAATTTAAATTATATATAAATTTTATATAACTTTATCTTAAAGCTTATTAAATTCCCTTCAAAATGACCTATTATTTTTTTTAATTCTGTCCATAAATTTCTAGCATTTACCCAAAATTAACTCGGTATCTCATAATATGGATATCTTTCCTCTAATTATATATAAAATATATTTACATATGTTTTTTTTTGTTTTGTTATTTAAAATGATTTTCAAAATCTAATTTTTAAAATTACATTCTAATGTAAAACGATTAATGCATACAATACTTCAAGAAATTAACTTGTAATTTAACTTAATTTAATATCTTAATGCAACTTTAAATTAAATTAGTTTTTTATTCAACTTTTAAATTTTATTCAACTTTAAAATTTTTTTCAGGATTTAACAAAAACTTATCAAAGATTGTAAATGATGTCGATCTGATTGCCATTTCTCGACTTGGAAAAGTCGTAAACGCCATCGACGTTGGATCAATGTCAAATCGATTTATCATTTCTCTCTGGGTAATCACTAATGGTCACTTCTAAGAAGCATGTGTAGGTCTGCACTATGACTACACTTTAATAAAGAGGATAGTAACTCTCTACGAAGTTTTCTCATTAACCCTAAAATGTAATTCTCTCAAAATATATAACAATAGTAAATATAATATATTAAACGTGTCTACACACCACATATACGCATTACATATTACATATTATATCTGTTTAAATAAGGATTTTAATTACAAATTTATAAAGAACAAAAAGTTTTTGATTGCCGAGTTTTCATATCTCTTTCTGATAGAAATCATTGAAACTTTAGCGACTGCAAGTATGATTTCATGCGAATATTTTTTCCGATGTTTTAATTATCCTAGTTGCAAAGTATCGTCTATTTGACATAATTAATTGGTCTTAATAAATCTAAAAATTTTTAATAAATCTAAAGTCCTATCATCGTAAAAATGACATGGATTTGTCAGCTACATAACGTCAAATAAATCAACATCTAAAATACGTCATTATTTTCGTATTAGTAACAACCTAAATGAATAATGTTATTAATTGATCACTAATAATGTTACCAGTACGTCATCGATTAGTCATTTATCTGACGTCAATAAGTATGACGTTGTAAATACGTCATAAATAAATGACGTCATTGTTACATCTTCAATATATCACATGACGTCAATAATTAAAAATGACTATAACTATTGATGTCAAAATGACTACAGTTTACTACCTGGATATGCTCTTACGTAAACGACAAAACGATGATATTCTCCCTTTTTATCGACGAGCAGTGAAGTTGCAGCGAGACGCAATTCTCCGTGCGATGTCCACGCAGGATATTGCAGTGAACTTTCAACGATGACTATACGTAGCCAATACGAAGCATCGTCGGTCGTCCTCGGACGTCTTCGGCCGTCGCGTCCGACGTCCCGTCGGTTCTGTTGAGGCGCAGCCGACAGTTGATGGCACGACGTCGCGATGGATGTTTTATATTGAGTATTCGTTTTTACGCGGTTGATTTTTAGTCTCCGTGCTTAATAAAAAGAAAAAAGTTTGATAACGTAAATATTCCTGTGATAAATTGTTTATATGTGACCATCTCTCACCGAGCTGGAAGACTTCCGGCAAATGGAGTATTTTGCGGAAATCCTTGAGAGCTTATGGTGGTTACGCGGTTGACACTGATGGTCTGTATAACGAAAATTTTTTGTGGAAGATATCAATGGAACGATCACGAACTATCGTGAATAGATTAAGCATTAAGACGGGTCTCTCGCATGCGAGAGATTCGGGAGGGATAAATTTAGCGATATAATAATTCTATCTTGCTCGAGTAACAAGAAAGATCATTTATTCTATGTATCAAATTTTTATGAGAAATTTAATAGAGGCAAAAGAGAAAAATTATTTTCTTTCCTTAGATGCGTAAGCGCGACTATGATCAAAGAGTATTTTCATATAATTAATGTGCATAATATAAATATATTTTTACACGTACAAAATTTCGAGGTAAAAATTTAACGGGATAAAGATATTCTCTGGAGAAAAATGTGTGAATGGAGACAAAGATGGTATACGACGGAATACACTACGAGTTTATTCTTATTCGAATGATTAAAAGACTTTGTTTATTAACGGTGGAAACATCTTTTTTTAATGAGAACGTCTTTCCTCGAAAAATAAATGGGAAAATAGAAATAAATGTAGTGCAATCTTTGGCAGAAGAAGAATCTCTCGGCATTTAAGTAACAAAGTAAAGAGATCTGCGGCTTTGCATATATTATTAAAAATCATTAAAATTCGGCAGGAAATGGAGACAATTCTCTTTACGAAGAAAGGAAGGTGAATACAGTGTGTAAAGGAGTGAATTTTTGGATTATTCAAGTGGTTCAAGAGAACATTTATTTTTATATGTAACAGAATACTATGTGCTGTGAAAATTGAATAAAGAATCGCGTGATGCAGGGTAAAAAAGCAAAAGCGTCAGGCACAGGTGAATACGGAAAGGGAAATAAAAATCTTTTGCCATTATTCGATCGCCAGAAAGGAAAGTTTCTTGTAGTATTTCCGATGTAGATTATTATCGTGCCCTTGGTACAAAATCTTAATTTTTTCTTTCTTGAGACGCACGAAAATTTGGTTATCATCCATTAAATAATCATTGCATCATGAGAGAAATGATACTTCGATAGAAATATCATTTTACTCACTTACTAAAAAAATAATTGAACGTTATTGGAATGTTGTATATTTATATTGCTTCAGACAAAAGAAAAAAAAATTATATATTATCGTCGATCATTCGAGAGAAAATATTTTCTATTATATCATTAGAATTCGCGAACACAAAGTACGCTGATCAGATAGGTCCATACACGCAGGATTCTCTTTTGCCTGAATTGATACTTTTTGCAAGAATTTTTATTTCTCATGCATAATTTTTATTATGTATTGCCTTTCTATTTAAATATATCGCTTCAATTCTATATTGCACATTCTTCCCTATGACGTTATAATTATATCTATATGCACAATATATGATGACATTTTTTAAGACAAGGATGGAGATAAAAATTTAGAGATAAAAATGACCGAAGAAATTAAAAACTTTGAATAAAAAACACAATAAAAAGCATTTTTTACTTCGGATCTAAAAGGTTTGTTACTCAAATATATATTTTGGAGGCATTCGACGGTTCTGACGTTGTACTATTATTCTAGAATTCAATTTTTGCATTCATTTCGGTATGAAAATAGTTATAAAGGCGATACAATTGCTAAGTGGCAGTGACCATTATGAACATACACTATCGCTCATAACTATTTGAAAAATATTTTACACCGTATTCCGATTTTAAATGTTAAGTAAATGTTTCATTACCATTGTGTTAATACAAATAAAATTTTAATAGAATAATTGACGCTATTCTTATTGTATATTGATTATAATTGTACATGTTCTGAATTTAAATTAGTAAGACAACGTTCGAATTATCTCCAACTATTCTTGAATTGATATTGTATTGAAACATTGCCTCAATAATCAAAATTTAGAATATATAGATAAAGATGATTTGGCGCAGTGCAGGTGACATGAGATAATGTATTTTCGTTGAATCCGTATCCATAAATCCGTATCTATAAATTGCTAGAGGAAGTTAAAAAATTTTTTACAATTTTTTTCCTTATTAATTAATATATCTGAATTGTTGTGATGGTCATTAATTGTGCTTTAACAGTAATGACAACAAAGTTCAAAAAGATAATGAGGCAAATTCAATTTTTTTAAACAAAATGACTTTACGTTACAGTTTTTGTATCAATAGAAAATAACTCGATTTTCCAGTATTTATAAAGCCATTTATAGCCTGATTTTTAATATGCAAGCTAGTAGATTAAAAATATTGAAAAATTCAACCATTTTCGATAAAGGAAATTATAATGTGATGGAGCAACCTGGACATCAGGTTCTGTTTCAGAACGCCAAAATACATAAGAATATGAGCCGATGGAAAAAAATTTAAAAATTTAATGTTTATTAGGGTTGATTGAAAGGGGAGAAGATGGGATAAATTAATAAATTTTTTTATATCTTTTTTACCATATATCCTTTTAATTTCTACATGACAAAAGGAACTGTTGTGATACTTTTTAAAATAAAATGATTTTAAAATGATTTTTAATGAACTTCTCCGTATTTAAATGATTGGCAATGTCGTGAATATACAATGTCACATATAATTTAGGATCAGTATGCCATCGATGGATCGGTACAACGAACGGATCAGTTAAATATTTTTGTTATTATACGTGATGTCGCGCTATTTATAGTGGAGAAATTAAAACGTTGCAATTTCGTAGAGTACATTTCTGTGCGTTTCGATCTTATTTTCCCTGATTTTGCAAAGATTATTGAAACTATTTAATGGAAATATACTTTATTAATCTCAATAGTCTATTAAAGTTGAAGATATACGCTTTAAAATGGGATACTTTATTTTCGGCAACTATTTATATTTAGGCATAATATTATAGATTATCTGATAATTGATACATTTCCATAAGTAGAAATTAACAACGGTTAATCCATAGCACGTTGTATGGAATAATTAGATATGGCAATTATGACCATAATAAATGCTTGCTAATCCGGTAATAAAGACATATGCAATTATTTATTTTATTAACGATTCTTTATGTTTTATTATAAAAGTTTATATTAAAGTTTATATTATATTTTAGTTAAATAAAGTTTATACTATTAGGTGTTGGAATTAATTCGTAGCGTTTTACAAGTGATGGGAAGTACTTTCATTAATGTATTTTTTAATGCTCATGTGAAATAAATAACATTCTTTCATTAAAAAACGCTACGAATTAATTCCAACACCTAATATATTTTATAAAACTATAAATTACTCTATAAACAAATTTAAAAAATAGTAAAACCCAGGTAAGTATATTGAACGTGCTATAGTTAAGTGTACCAAATAATCTTTATTAATCACAAATTATAATTTTCCGACGATAAATTTTAACGGAACGTTTCGACTATACTTAGTCCTCATCAGTCGCAGAAATGCATGAATGCTAAATATCTAATTATATTAATATATTATGAAGATTATCTCACATTCGAGTTACAATAGATAATATAATAGATTTCTAAGGATTATCTCACCTTCGTGTTACAAAGGACGGTATATCGCAATCATATCATATGTAGTCAAACTTGATAAATAATAATTTATAAATAAACGATGTAGTGAAGAGTTATGATTCCGAATCAATTTATCGGCTAATAGCGAGAAAGGATAGTCAGTATAAATAAAAGAATAAATTCCAGTCGTATTAATGATGTAGCTTGATGTCAGATTATATAAATGATTGTATGTAATCCTTAATAATATTGGTAGATAAACTGAATAAAATAAATTATCATCAAAATTGATGCTATAAAGAAACTATAGTTTGTAACTTAAAAACTATCTTTAACAAATAATTTAATAACTATCTTTAACAAATAATTTAAAAACTATATGGTAAACCGATAATAAATTATTACGATAATAACTTATGTACGAGTATATATAGAAATTTCATTTGAACAAAAGCAAACACGAAATATAAATAACAACCGCTTTAAATTTATAATGTCAATTAACAAAATTAAATAATTATCAAGGAATAAAGAATAAAGATTATGCAACACTTATATTAATCATGAAGGCAAATACAAATTATATATAATGGTAAGTTAGCAGCAGAGTCTATTAAAAATGTATAGAATTTAGAATCGGTTATATTTACTGCAAAATCGATCTTGACTAAGAGAGTATAAACGCAAATAATATCATATGTATGTCAAAATGTCAAAAGACAAAAAAACTAAGCGCTGTCGTTTTTATTATTATTAGTAATTAAATTTAACAGATAAACATATATGTCATCTAGAGATTCGATGTCTTTTTTTTTATACCATTTAACTATTCTTTTATATGTAGTGTTTCCAAAATGAGTCTTTTATTATAATTTGATTCCGTATCCATTATTCTGACATTCTTCCAATCAAAATTATGATTATATTGTAATATATGTTCTGTTATAACCGAATGCCTAGATGATTCAAGCTTATATTTTTAATATGCTCATTTATTCTGGTAGTGAGTTTGTTACTCTTCGTCTGTCCCAGACAAGAAACGTCATAATTATTACATTGGATTTTACAAATTACATTATTATTCTTAGAAATTATTTTTTTGTCTTTATGCGCTTTTATAAATTTATTCAATTTGTTAATACATCTATAATCTATACTATATACTGATTTATTAATTATGCATGTGGCTGACTTTGTGATTCTGTGGATAAATGGAAGTACAAAAAACTTTTTCTTGTTAAAAACTTTTTATTATTGGCGGAAACATTGTTGTCATCTATTTGTCTTACGTGGAATTTTTATTGGAAGCAACTTTTTTGTTCTTGTATTGAACAGTTCAAATATTAAATCTAACGAATATTCATTGTTTAAAAAAATATGAATGCAAATTTCGAAGTTCTTTTAATAAAACTTAGAATGTGATAATAGAATTGCTCGATTCATTACATTGTATTATGCGGTGCCAATCTTATAACACATGGGTGATTAGATAAAAAAGAAAGACATCTACTCTAAAGTTTTTAAAAA